CGGGCCCAGCACCGGTTGCACACACGGCTCCGGGGCCTCCGACCCCGCGGCCGGTGGGATGCGTGTGTGGCACCTGGTGACCTGCCCTGCAGGTGACAACGGGCTGGGCTCAGCCTGGACCCCCCAGGAGCTCGTGCACCAGCACCTGAGTGTGGCTCATGGAATCGTGGAATCATGGAAACATGGAATCATTAAGGCTGGAAAAGCCCCCGAGACCATCGAGCCCAACCCAGGCCACCACAAAACCATGTCCCCAGGTGCCACATCCACAGGTTTTTGAACACTCCCAGGGATGGTGACTCCACCACTGCCCGGGGCTTGACCACCCTTTCCATGAAGACATTTTCCCTAATATTCAGTCTAAGCCCCACCCTGGCACAACTTGAGGCTGTTTCCCCTTGTACCGTCGCTTCTTCCTTGGGAGAAGAGCAATGGTCACCACACTGGTGCCACTGGCTGGGAACGGGCCCTGAGACTGGGAATTAAACATTAACTCCTCTCAAGGCAAGGGAAGGGGCTGTCAGAAATTCCCACCCCTCCCGGGAGCTGGCCCTGCCCGGGGGCACCTGGCACAGGGCACTCAGACCTTTGCTTCAGGGGCTGTTTACACTGGCAAGGGGTCCTTCCAGAAGGCACCGGCACATCTGTCCTCTCCTGCAACAGAGACCGAGGGGACATCACCTCTGTCCCCCTCCGTGCCACATCTGGCACAGCCCAGCTGCTGGGTTGATGCCATGGATGCCATGTCCCCGTGGCACTGCCATCCTGGGCCCAGCAGGATGGTCTCCTGGCACTGGGCCTGAGCCTCCCCCTCCAGAGTCCACCAGGAGATGAGGGGACCCCAGCAGAGCTCAGTGTCCCAGCAGGGAAGGAGGGAGGCAGAGAGGGAGCGTTCCTGGCTCCGGGGAATCACCTGTCCCTGACTGCAGCTTCCTCACCCTGCGTGTTCCCCCGGTGGGAAATGCCACCTTGGAATTCCTGCTACCTGGAATTCCTACCTTGGAATTCACCCCGTGCTGCGAGTGGGGAAGGGGCTGTTGGCTCCATCCAGGTGCCCTGTTTGCCCTGGGAGTGGGCCAAGCCCCAGCTCAGGGTTTTGGGGTTGTGCAGCCTGAGCTGAGGGGTCTGTAGGGCCACGGGAGCAGCCGACATCTCTCCTGCCCCTTCCCTCAGCCCCCGGGTGCCCAGGGCTGCTGCAGCTCGGCGCTGGCTCTGGGGAAGTTGTTTGTTCAATAAACACAGACCGTGAAACGAGGCGTTGGAAAAAGAAGGGAAAAAACAAACACCGAACCCTCTTTGGGTTTGCACAAGTGGCCTTGGGCCCCAGACAGGATCGATCCCCGAGCCTCCCTCCCTGCCCCTTCACAGGAACACTGCGGGTCTGAGTCCTGGAGGCCCCTGGACACCTGGATCTGGGGACATGGGGGGTCCCTGCTCCGTCAGGGCTCGGTGGGAGGGTGTGTGCAACGTGGGCAAACACTGACACCCGTCAGGGGTTGTTCCATCCCTGCTCCAAGGTGTCCCAGGTCCTCCAGGACATCCTGCCCCTGCTCCAGCCGGAGCAGCTCACGGCTCATCATCCTGGAGTGGGCAGAGGATGCAAAGCTGGGTGGGGAGCGGCCCTGGCACCATCTCCTCCCTCTGCCCACCCTCTCCCCACCTGGACCAGCCCCGTCCCAGCCTCCAGGGCGGGACCACCAGTGCCTGCAGGGCGAGCTCCTCCCGGACTGAGGTCGCCCCTGGAGCTCCCCTCCCGAATGTCCCAGCCCAGCCCCCTCTCGCCCACCCCTCACACCCGGGGGGCACGTGGGGAGCGCCGGAGGAGCCCGAACATCTGTTACGTAACGGGGCCGAAGCGTCGGAGTCGCCCTTTGCCCTCTGCTCTCACGGCCCTGGCATGGCCCACTTTGCTGTCACCGGGCTGGTGAGGGGCACAGAGGGGGGGCAGCAGCTCTGGCAGAGGGCCAGGGGCACGCTGAGGGGCTGGGGGGGCTGTAGGCGAGGGGAGGGCCTGGGTGCCGTAGCTCCCACCCGGCAGTGTCCGCCCACTTCAGAAGGGAGAACGGAGTTTCTCTTGTCTGGTCCTGATTTGGGACAAGAACGGCCAAATCCAGGTGGTTTTGTGGGATGGGTCATTTGGCCCAAGCAGGGAATGGTGCCTTTCCTGTGGGAATCACGAGCCCCCTGTGTTCAGAGGGGTCCCGTGCTGTGCCCTGGATCTGGCTGGGGCGAAGCAGAGTGTCTGCATCCCTCTGGGAAGGGCAGCTGAGGGGCAGAGAGCATGGGAGGCCTTTGGGAACAGTGTGGAGAGGCCCAGTCCTGCTTCCCGGGCTTTTGGAGCCGCCTGTGCCAGGAGCACTGGAAGATGTGCTGGCTGACGGCAGGGCACACACATGGAACACACACACACACACATGTGCACACACGTGGAACACACACACACACACATGTGCACACACGTGGAACACACACACACACACATGTGCACACACGTGGAACACACACACACATGTGCACACACACCACGGCTGGGAGTCTTTATTGAACACCAGGGATGCTCTCGGAGAGGGAGACACATTCCTCCCACTGGGATTGACTTCCCCTTCCTTGTCCTCCTCAGCCTCACATCCAGCTGAGTGAGGCCACAGGGATGACCCATCCCCTCCCCTCCCCTCCCCTCCCCTCCCCTCGGTCCCCGGCAGCCCCAGCAGCCCGGGGTGGCCACTGGTGGGTCCTGTGTTGGTGTAGCTGCACCCATGACCTCAGGATGGGACAGCAGTGGGACCACCCTGAGCCTCAGCATCCGGCAGGAGGAGGGTCTGGAGTCCACCAGGAACCGTTCTGAGGTGCTGTGAGAGAAATCCAGGGGCAGATCCAAAGGGGGAAAAGAGCCTGGTGGGAGGTGAGTGAGCAGAGAACCTGCACATTCAGCATCACCCTGAGGAGGAACAAACCCCTCGGCAGGGCTCCCTTCTTGAAGCCAGGAGGCAGGAGGAGGGAGCCGGGAGGAGGGAGCCGGGAGGAGGGAGCCCTGGCCCGGGAGCCGGGAGGAGGGAGCCGGGAGGAGGGAGCCCTGCCCTGGGAGCCGGGAGGAGGGAGCCCTGCCCTGGGAGCCGGGAGGAGGGAGCCCTGCCCTGGGAGCCGGGAGGAGGGAGCCCTGCCCGCGGTGTCCCGCCCTGCCCCGCTCAGGTGCAGCCGCAGGAGTCCACGATCATGTCGGGGATGTCGGTCTTGACGATGTTGCTGTCGCGGTCGTAGTAGAGCAGGGAGAGGGGCCGGCGCTGGGTGGGGACGCAGCAGGAGTCCACGGCCGCGGCCGCGCTGGCCGCCTTGATGCGGTTGAGGACGGCGGTGTGGAAGGAGGCGGCGAGGCCGGGGATCCCGGCCATGTGCAGCGGGCACAGCCCCGCGCAGTAGTTCATGTGGTACCCCTCGGGCTGGATGATCCAGTCCTCCCAGCCGATCTCCTTGAAGTCCACGAAGAATTCCTGGCGGCAGCACATCCGCGAGCCCGCCCCGCAGTCGATGCCGCGCCGGCGGACACGGTGGGGCGTCCTGGCCCGGGCTTGGGCCACCACGAACGGCCGGTGGGAATCGCTGCGGTCAGCCAGGAGGGGGGACCCCCAGTCCTCCGGCACCTCCAGCTCCACCGTGAGCCGCGGGGTGTCCTGTCCAGAGACGCTCTGCACGGCCAGTCCCACGTCCAGCGTGGTCCAGCCAGGGCTCTGCACCTCCAGCCACGTCTCGCTGGCCACCGTCGTGTTTGTCCCCGCCGGGTCCGGCCACAGGAGCCTGACGGTGACTGGCTGTGCCCCGGGGCTGGGGGCTGCCCAGAACAGGTAGAGGGTGGCCTGCAGGATCTCTGTGCTCCTGGCCAGCTCCCGGGAGAAGCGGAAATGCAGGCGGACGCTGCGGGAGGTGGAGGATCCTGCGCGCAGAACCGAGAGCGGGGTCAGGAGTGAAGGGCTGGTCAGGACTCGTCCCACCCCCCCTGCCACGGGTAGGGACACCTTCCACTAGACCAGGTTGCTCCAAGCCCCGTCCAACCTGGCCTGAAAAAATTCCAGGGATGGGGCAGCCACAGCTTTTCTGGGAAATCTATTTCAGGGCCTCACCACTCCCATGGAGAGGAATTTCTCCCAATATCCCATTTAACCCCACGCTCTGGCAGCCGGAAGCCATTCGCCCTTGTCCTGGCACTCCGGGTCCTTGTCCAAAGTCCCTTTCCAGCTCTCCTGGAGCCCTTTTAGGCACTGGAAGGGGCTCTGAGGTCTCCCTGAAGCCTTCACTTCTGCCTCGGCTGCAGAGCTGCTGCTCCTCCTGGCCGGGGAAGGGCTGACGGGGCCATGACAGCACTCGGGGCTCCTGGCACAGCTCTGCCCATGAGGACACAACACCCCCCGTGCTCCGAGCCTGGGTTCATCCCCCGGCTCGGTTCCAGCTGACGCTCCACCAAGCCAGGAGAGAACCCTGTTGTCCTGGAGTGTGGGAACACAACGTGCCGTGGAGCAGCTTTGTTCCCGCAGGGCTTCGAGGACACGGGGGCCAGCGAGGGGAGCGGAGCCCCCCCACATCACCACGCGGAATTTGGGCTGGGAAAGGGAGGGTGCAGGGTGCTCTGCGGGGTGGGGTGCTGAGTCTGTCCCTCCAAGGAGACACAGGATACAGGACCGGGGAGAAGTGGGTACAGGACCCTGTTTTTCCAGTGGTGCTTCCCAGGACCCCTGAGCGTGTTTTGGGGAGCCCAATCCAGGAGAAGCGAATTCTGAAGCGAAACTGGGACAGGCCCCTTTGGGTGGGATGCAGAGGCACAGGGGGGTGCAGGGAGTGGATGGGCTGTGCAGCCCTCAGTCCACACGCTGTGGGTTGACAGGGAATTGAGGCTGAAAATCCCGTTTTGGAAAACCCACCCGTCTGACCCTTCCACTCCAGCACCGGGGGGAGGGTCCAGCAGAAATGGGCTGCAGGGGACACGACACAGCAGCACCTCCGTGCCCTGTGCCACCCTCCCACCCCAGCACGTCCGGGAGCGGTAGGGCTGGGATTTGCTTGGGACGTGGATGCAAAGGTCAGGGATGTGGAGCCTCTCACTCCTTCCAGCAGCGGCGTGACCACCATCCCGGCTGCACCTCCCACCTCCCACCGCCTTCCCACGGCACGACCCCCCCTTTCCCTCCGCGCCCCCCCACCCGCGGGGCCGCACACACCTGACTCGGCAAAGCTCAGGACCTCGTACTCCTGCAGCCCCATCCCGGGGCCGTCCCGGAGCATCCCCGGGAGCGCGGCCGTGTCCGAGCGCTGCTCCCGCAGCCTGCGGAGCGCGGCCAGCAGAGCCCCCCGGGCCGGGGGTTGGGGGGCGCCGGGCCGGGCCGGCAAGCGGAGCTTGGCCAGGATGCTCTGCTTGGCCAGCGCCAGGAGCGCGTCCCGCTGCGCGCCGGGGGCCAGCGCGGCCACCCCGCAGGCCGGGCACCGCTCGCCCCTGGCAGCCGCCGTCCGCAGGAGGCTCAGGAGCAGCAGGGCCACCGGGACCGTCATCTCCGGTGGCGGGAGGCGGCGGCGCGGGGGTCCCAGCGGGCGTGTCCGGGAACCGGGACGGGACAGCGGCGGGGCCGGGGAGCGGAGCGGGGCCGGCGGGGCTGGAGCGGGGAGCGAGGATGGGCTCGTTTCTCCTGACGTGGCCACAAATATTGGCTGATCCCGGGCGAGATAAACGCCCCTGCGCTCCCGCAGAGCCGCCCGGGCAGCGCGGCGAGGCCGCCCCGGTTAAGGTGGAGCCGGGCGGGCGGTGCTGCTGCTCGGGGGGCTCAGCCCGGGGCTGCCCCGGCGGGGCGGGGGGCACGGAGCCGGTCCCACCCCGGGGGTGCCCAGGGTGCAGTGGGAACCCCCGGAGCGGGGGGATCCCCGCGGCATGGGGGATCCACGCCTGGCGGGGGGCATCTCTGGAGGTGGGGGATCCTCAGAGAGGGGGGACCCCGGGGGGATGGAGGACCCCGGGGGATGGGGGATCCTGGGGAATAAGGGATTCCCGAGGGTCCTGGGTGATTAGGGAAGCCTGGAGACAGGAGGTCACTGGGAAGGGGGGATCCCTTGGGAATAGGAAGATGGGGGATGACGAGGGGATGTGGGATCCCGGAGGATGGAGAATCCCCGGGGGCACGGGGGGTTCCTGGGAGATGGGGGACTCCCCGGTGATGGGGGACCCCTGGGAGATGTGGAATCCCGGGGGATTGTGGGTCCCGGGGGGATTTGGGACCCCCGGAGATGGAGGATCCCGGAGGATGGAGGATCCCGGGGGACGGAGGATCCCGAAGGGATTTGGGACCCCCGGGGGGGTGTCACCCCCGTTGTCCCATGCACCGGAGAGGGCGTGGCCACTGGTGATGGGCGGAGCCCGAAACCTCATTAGCCCCGCCCCCGCCCCGCCCCTTTCCCATAGGGGTTCCTCCTCGCCAGGGGGCGCCCCCCGCCCCTTCCACCCTTCCCGCGTCTCTCCGGTTGCCGCGGCAACGGCGGGGCGGGGGCGGCGGCGCGGGTCGCGCGGTGATGACGCGGCGGGCGCGGTGACGCAGCGCGCACGCCGCGGGGGAGGCGCCGCCTCCTCTTTTTTCCCTTTTTTTTTTTTCCCGTTTCTTTCCCCGTTTTTTTCCCCCGTTCCGGCCGCCCC